GAGGAGAATATGAGGAACACTAGGGTGAGCTGGATTAGGCATGAATAGAGGGATAATTTCCAGCAAGTCGCGGTATGATATTAGGAGATGATTCAAGGATGTTTTCAGAGGAGGAGGGGTTGAGGATTGAGGATCTGGTCGACGTATCGTGGAAAGGTCTGAGGAGGAGATACCTGTACGTTGAGGTAGCCTTATCTCTAATTCTGTGAGATTTGGTGCCATCTTTAAGAATTGCAAAAACCCAAGGTTATCTTCACTTCGTGGCTTTTCAAGCAGTCGCTCAAAGTCACAAGTGAAGTGAATCCTCAGTACATTCAGCCGCTTGTAGGCAGATTCCCCTTCCATTTCAGGCCAGGGATAGCGTAGGTTGTACAAAGTGACGTCCTTGGCCCAAGGTATTAAAGATTTGGCATAAGGGGGTATCAGAATATCTGGAATGTCCTCATCATCATGGGGAGGTTGCTTATAGACATTATCTCGAGCGATATACGCTACTTCCTTGGGCCGAGGGCAGCCGGTGGGCCAGAGAAGTTCTGCATTTCTGCTGCTCCCCAACAAGTTGGGATGTTCGCAGAGCGTGTCAAAGACGATTTCGAATCTCTTGATTATGAACGACTGCTCTGGGTCTACATATTCATTTAGATCACCGAGCGGGGGTGTCATGGCGTTGAAGGTCGAGTTTGCTGCCGACTGTCTTCTCGAGTGACTTGGAGTTTCCGTAGTCCATTCTCTCTCCGTCCTATCAGGTTTGGAGAGCATTCTCATCACTTTTCTCAAACTGTCAGCTGGCGGGGGATGGGTGTGCTCCATCCAGTTGGTGAATATTAATGATATTCCGTGATCGATGGCTCGGTTATTCGGACTAAGGGGGTCATGATCCGCTCGTTGTAAGAATAATCTGACCCTATCCCAGCTCTTGAACCCTGAGTCGGGCTGGCCAGAGAGCGAATACCGGATGATCCTCCAGAGGGATGGAGTAGAGCAAGCCACCTCACGCCAGCGACGACAAACGTGAGAGAGCAATACTGCAGTTGGGACCTTGGCATACCCGGATCTTCGATAGTCTCGAGAATGATGTGCCCTTATTGCAAGGGAACCGAGGTCATCACCCATCAATGTGTTACTTCGGGTAGGAAGGTTGGCTTCGTGTATAGAATTGGGAGGAAAAAAAATAGAAGCTCTTCTTTCTTGCTCGTCTGCCTCGACGGCCGCCTCCATGATGATCTTCAAGAGTTCTGTGGGCAGCGTCCGGATAGGGTGCTTCAATCCTTCAAGATTCTTCATGAGAACTTCTACGGTTTTCATATGCGTTTCGATCCCCTGAAGAGTCTGAACTGCGGTGTCATAGATCACCTCTGTCGAAGATAATGGCTGAGATGAGGTCGGGTCTCCAACTAGCTGGGAAGGGGACGACTTCATGGCATCGACAATCTTCCTAGCAGACAAAAGGTTGTTCTTGAGAAAATCGAGTTCTGCGCTGTGGATGGCCAGCAGCTCCTCGAACATTGGCGCATCGGATTCTTCCAAAGCGGGGTTTCCAACACGCTTCCATCCAACAACCTCGCTGGAATCGGAACCTGCTGATGTTCGGTGGGGATAAAGTTGAGAGTCAGATACAATACGACGAGTGATATAGTCATTTAAGAGGGCAGGGTAGCCTGTATTCGTAGTTAGCATCAGCATAGTAGCCGTAGTCGAATGAGGGAAATATGAACCTTGTCCAGCGTATCCACTCATCTTTCAATCAAGGAGTGATGACCGGTATCCACACAATGAGATAGTATTTCGTGGCCAGTGTGGATTGCAGTATTCCAGCGGCGCCTGGTCAGTTGAAGGGGACAATTGTGCAATCGAGAACGCCCCAAGCGCTCGGCTTGACCACAATTACAGGGTGGTAGCGATGAGACTAAGTCCACAAAAATCACTCCTGAGAGTAGTTCTACCAAGAAATAGCCCGACTGAGTTCGAAGATATGGTAGAATTGCGTGAGATTGGTCCAGTTTTGTGTCCCGGTCTTTTGTAGGTCTGAATCAGGACCAAAGTAGAGTTAACCACACGTCATGTAAGCAATAATAAATGCACATTGTTACCTGGCAATCAAACAAACGCGTCAGATGTTCGTGGCTAGTCGAGAAATGTGGCGTAGAGGAAGAATAATCACAAACACGTCCACTTATCCTGACTCCGACTTCATCAGGGCCAAGGCAGTAGATGTCCAACAAAATCGTTGTATGTGTCTCTCTCATTTTTTATGGTCGTTAGATAGCTAAGACAATATTATTTTCAAATCTGGCTGACTTTCATACGTACCTTTACCGAACGAATCCTTTATGGTATCAACTCTCGGCTCAATTTCCTCCTAAATCTTG